ACGTTTTTATACCTCGTTAGAGGCGTCGGTAAGGTACTATAAGCGCGTAGTAACCTTAGTAGATTTAAGAAATTGGACTGTAGCCGTAATGTTCTTTGTTTCGGAGAAAAGATCCTTAAAGTTCGGGTTGTTTTGTCTTAAAGTGTCCTTTAGATGAGCCCGTTGGGGCCTAAATAGAGGGTATTTTAGTAGGAGGTGTTCCGGTGTCTGGATTGCCGTTCCTGAGTATCGATACTTATCCGTAGTAGTATGGTTAAATCGATGAAGGTAGGACTTAAAGTAGCCGTGTCCTAGCTTTAGTTGATAGAAAGCGGAGGCTATTTCGCGCTCGTTAGAGGGCGGTTTATAGCTGCGCTTTGCTACTAGTGGAAATGTCTTAGCGTAGGAACTCGGTTATTATGGACCGCAAGGAAAATTAACCCGCAGGGTCGAGAAGACCTTATGGGAAGAAGGCCCACACGGGCCTAGAGACCTTAAGGGCTTAGTAACTACAAGGGCCCGCGTCCCGCAGGGTACTAGCAGACACGTACTAGGTAAAAGCCGCAAGGGAACTAAGGCCACAACCCTAAGAAGCCTATAGGGGATTATCGTCTACAAGGGCAAAAGCAGCAGACTAATAACAGACTTATAGAGCGATTTAGGACAAGGAACTTATCGCGTCCGCTCTATAATAAGAAGGAAGGTTATCAGGTCGTAGGAAGCTAGCTGGCAGAAAAGCGGTACTAAGGTCACGTGCAGGACCCACCTTAGATTATAGTAATCCAACGTCTCTAATCCGAAAGACGCACGGACTAATAGATTATAGTAATCCTATATCTTTAATCTAACCCTCCTAATCTAAGGGTTAGAACCCAGATTATTAGCATCTCCTACATGTATTTAGACCACGCTCTCTAGCAGTAGATAGGACCTTCGTAGTCAACTCAAAGTATTAATCTCTACTAAAGGTTAATAGTAACACGCCTACACCCGATCCTTCACGTAACTTATCTCTCAACTTCCTATACTTCTTATCCTTCAAGGTAAACCCTTCGAACCTATTCACCCGCTAGGCAATTCCAACGCCTAGGCTAAAGAGGCCTCGTTACACTTTAACCACCCTCCTTGCAAGAAGGAAGGAAGGCTCAATACCGAGTTAAGATCAATCAGTAAAGTATCACCCCGTCCTATCTAACCCAGACAGGATAAGATATCGACAGTCGACATAAACGACGGCAGCAGTAACCCCCAGCAGCAGCAACAGCAGCAAAGGAACTCCACGACCCTAGACGATATCTTTACTATAATACAAGGCATGCAGGGACAGATAGCCAACCTCCAGTCGCAACTAAACGATCAGATACAGGAGAATACACGCCTCCGAGCCCGCATCAATCAGGGACAAGTTCCACAGACAGGTCCACCAGCGCAGGAAGGCACAGCCCCAGCAGCCCCACTATAGGGAGCTTAACCGGCTCGTCCTCCGCCCGCACCCGTCGCTGCAACAGCCCCAGCTACACCAGCTACGTCCTACGCTAAGGTTCCAAAGCCTAATCTCTATTATAGAGACCGGCACAAGACCCAGAACTTCCTTACTCAATTAGACGACTACCTCCACTTCTCACGCGGACAATTCACCGACGACGAAGAAAAAGTCCTATACGCTAGCACCTATCTACGCGGCGCAGCGGAGAAATAGTTCCGCCTAATAAAAAGAGAACGTCAGGAAAAACAACTATAGGAACGGACCGATCGAACCCAGGAGGTCTTTAACGACTACCGAACCTTCGTCAAATACCTCAAGGAAGCCTTCGCGGACATCGATAAAACCCGCAAAGCCACAAGAACACTTCAAACCCTAAAGCAAAAGAAGTCAGTACTAGAATATACCACCGATTTCCAGAACGCAGCGTACGTAGCTAGACATCATACCGACTACACGCTCAGGACGTTCTATACCCAAGGATTAAAGGACGAAATTCAGGAAGCAATAACCTACCACGAGGAACCCGACAATCTTGCGGAAATAATTCAACTCGCCACCATACTAGACCGACGCCGCTTACAGCGCGGATAGGATAAGCAAGCCAACACATCCCGATCCATAAGACTAAGACACACTCAGGAAGGAGGTAACGCCATAGAATTAGACAGCTCATCCCGGGACAACAAGGATAAAGGTAAAAAAGGAAAGAACAACCGCAAAACCCACAGCAAGTAGACCGACCAGCAAAAAGAAAGGTTTAATAAGAACCTCTATATCCACTATAGTAACAAATAGGAACCCGGACATAGTTGCCCGCAGAACCCGCGAAATAAAGACAAGGGGAAAGGAGCCGCCGCTACTAACCGAACTACGTCAGTAGCAGCCCGGAAAGAACCCGAGCACGGAACGATCAGCTAGACTATATACTATAACGACAATTACCAAATCCACCAAAGTTAGAAATTAGTAACAGGATAGTTCCCACACAAGCTAAAGAAACAAAACGCTAAAAGGACACGCAGGACGGATAAATAGGAAACACCTACTAAGGAAGAAATCTACGGATTCGTAGAAGAACTACCGGAAGATTCCCTACTAGTCGACAGCGATACGGGCGACTTCTACGATAATACGCCCCAATCGAGCCGTTAAGGTTCTAAGAAGAGACAGTCAAAAAACTAGACGGCCCTGCACAGCAACCAACGGGACCCTTGCAGGGGCCGAAGTCTAAGTCCCTAAACTAGGCGATCAGAACAGTAAACGGAACCATACCTACCGGAACGAACCTTTAGAAACACCTTGTAATTACCGCCAAAATCAATAGGAAAAGCGCTAGGATTATAATAGACAGCGGAGCAAGCGGTAACTTTATCAGTCCCGCTTTCGTCATCAAAAATCACCTACTATACCAAGCTAAGGACGAACCCTACGCGCTTAATACGGTTAACGGAACACCCTCTACATACGGGAAAGGATAGGTACGAATTAAAACTAACCAATCAACCCTTACTATTAGACCACACAAGGAGAAAATCAACCTAGATGTTACAACCATCGCCTCCTATAATATAATCTTAGGAATACCATAGTTGAGAACACATAAACCTTACATTCGATAGAGAATAGGAGAAATCACGTTCCCGGACGAAGATTATAACCGACACCTTATAGAAGCCCAGCGGAAAACCGAGAGCCACGCAAGCGAGAGCCCAGAGAGCTAGAGGAAAGAGCCAGAGCTTAAGAGTCAGAGCCAAGGTAGCCAGAACCAGAGAAGCCAGAGCTATAAGTACCAGAGCTCCAGAGGACCAAGCGTTCGAAACGGACCGAATAGTACGCGCGCTTCCTAAAAGGATTCCTCGGAACAAAAACCCGGATCCTCCGAACCAATCGAAGTCAAGGAAATCTCCGCCGCAGCGCTTAAACGAATAAGACGCAGGGGAGAAAAGATCTACATAATGTATTTAAAGCCCAGTTAAGAAACGGAAAAACGAATTCTAGCACACATACAGGCCAATAGGCCAACAACCGACGGGCTAAAACCGGCCATCGGGGATAATCCGGACAGGATCAAAGAAGGTTACCCACTAGGGGGAAAACCCATACCTGCGAAAGGAATGCACCAGCCTAGTACGCCTCCAAAGCGAGAGCAGAAACCGCCTATTCCAGAATTAGAAACGGTACCAGAAGAATACTAGGATTACCAAGCAATTTTCCAAGAAAGAGGCAAAGGCTAACTACCGGAACATAAGCCATAGGATCACGAGATACCCTTATTGCCAGGCACGCAGCCAGCGTTTAAGCCCATCTACGCGCTATCCGAAAAAGAAAGCGGAGTACTTAGAGACTACCTAGACAAGAACCTCGAACGCGGCTATATTAGGCCATCAAGCTCGCTAGCCGGATACCCAATCCTCTTCGTTCTAAAGAAGAATAGTAAACTACGCCTCTATATTAATTATCGTCAGTTAAACGATATCACTATAAAAAACCGGTACCTACTACCGTTAATTACCGAGCTCTAAGATAAGCTACGAACGGCAAAATACTTCACGAAACTCGACCTTCGAGAAGGCTACTACTTAGTACGCATAAAGGAAGGGGAAGAATAGAAAACCGCGTTTAGAACCCGCCTAGGATATTACGAGTATACGGTTATACCCTTTAGTCTTACGAACGCCCTAGGAACGTTTTAAAGTCTAGTTAATAATACGTTACGCGACTACCTAGACGTCTTCTATATAGCTTACCTAGATAATATACTCATCTATTCGGAGACCCTAGAAGAGTATAAAGAACACGTTAGGAAAGTATTCCAGGCACTATAAGGTAAAGACCTACAGGTTACACCAGAAAAGTGCGAATAGCACGTCTAAAGGACGGAATTTCTAGGCTTTATCATCTTACCAGGACACGTAGAGATGGACGAAAAGAAGCTAGATACTATACAAGACTAGCTAATACCTAGAACCGTTAAAGAAGTACAATCCTTTCTTAGATTTACTAACTTTTACCGGAAATTTATCTAGAAATACGCCGAAGTCTTAGAACCCCTTACAAGACTCGTACGAAAAGAGTACGGATTTAACTAGGGAGAAGCTCAGCAAATCGCCTTCGATTCGCTAAAACGAATATTCTACGAAGCTCCCGTTCTTAGGATCTATAATCCGGAGCTGCCGATCGTTATCGAAACTAACGCTTCTAACTACGCTATTAGAGCTTATATCAGCTAACCGGACGAATAAGGAAAACTCCACCCTATCGCGTATTACTTACGAAAGATAACCCCGCCGGAGCTAAATTACGATATCTATAACAAGGAACTCCTAGCCATTATTACGGCTTTTAAAGAATAGAGACACTACCTTAAAGGGGCAAAATACTAGGTTATAGTTTATTACGATTATAAGAACCTGACTTACTTTACTACTACTAAGGAATTAACCCGAAGACAGGTTAGGTAGGCTGAAGAATTAGCATCCTATAACATAAAGATCACCTATAGAAAGGGATCTAAGAACGCCAGAGCCGATACGTTAAGCAGGAGAGCCGATTACCTCGCAGGAAAACCCGGTATTCAGCCAGCAGTACTATAAAAGAATAAGGATAGTTCCTTAGAACCTGTAAGGGTAGTCGCCCCGGTATACCGCACGGAACGATACTAGTTCAATATAGAACCAGATAGATACGTCCCAAGCAGACAATTAGCACCGACGATTAGACTCGAAAACAATTCCTAGCTCGAGAAAATTCGATAGGAATACAGCTACGATACAATAGCATAAGAACTTATAGATATAAAAGACGACCCGAGGGTTAGTAAAGATATAGACGGAACAATCCTATTCTTAGGATTAGTCTACGTACCAAGAACACTTAGAGAAGGTCTAGTTAAAGATATCTATAAGCTACTAGCACACGGTTACCAAGG